AAAGAACTATGGCGTATGTCACTCAGCCTCAGGTAGTCACTGTATCCTAGCAGAGTCCCATGCAAGGTAGTTGGCAGATTGCCAGAGTTTAACATGTCCTCCACTATGTCCAAAAGGACTTTGTACCTGGAAATGTTTCCTTTAGATGCTGGGAGTGCACAGCATGAGATGGCCCTATCCCCTGTACCTTGTGAGCCGAGAGAGGCGTGTGGGGTGTGCTATGGGGCATCCCTTGGTGAGGAAGATGGAAGCTTTATAATCCTCCGGAGGTGTTTGATGGGCACAGCCCAGGAGCCCTGGGACTAGAAGAGTAGTGTGGAAGGGGCTGCTCCAGGCCAAGTGTTTCTAGGTTCACAGTGAGGAAAGGAAGTAGGAGGCTGAACCTGTGTCCTCCCCCTCGCATTCCCTGTGGGGTTTTGAGGTGGAAGAGGAGCTGCCATTTCATAGCTGCATTGTGACTGTAATTATGACCGTTGGTGGACAGGATGCACAGTGGCCCAGAGGGCCTGGATCACCTTTGCAGAGAGCAGGAGTGTGGGAGATGCACAAGTGGAACACAGGTGAGGTCCAACTGCTACCCCATGGGGATGCTGGCAGCCCTGAGCAGGGGAGGAGAGGCTGGGAGTACCACTGACCCCAGCCTGTATGCAGGATCTCTGAGGGAACAGAATTGCCAGCACTCTTCCCAGCCATTTGTGCAGGCCTGAAAAAGCAAGCCCTGGTGGTGCTCATCCTATGGAGTGTAGTGCGCTGTGTGTGGCAGCTCAAGCAGTCTCACACCCCACTGGATGTGGGATTCAGGGCACCTGTATGAACAGAAGTTTACAGGAGTTGACTAGACAGAAGGATCTCTGAATTGGGCTTGTGGTAAATCTTGGCAGTAGGTAACTCTCCATAATCTGCAGGGTCCAGATAGAGAATGAGTGGTGTTTGCAAAGTTACAGATGCAGAGTGCATTGTGCAAATGGTCTTTGGCATACAGCTGGCCGTTCCTCAGTGTTATTGATCAGGCACCGTTGGGCTTTCTAGGACCCCACCTTACAGGCTCCTATGTGTCCCGAGCCCTGCTCTGCTCCGGAGCCCAGGGCTGCAAAACCTCTGAGCCAGTCGAGGACTGTTTTTCCTTCCCTTCCCTTCCCTTGCCTTTCCTTTCCCTTTCCCTTTCCCTTTCCCTTTCCCTTTCCCTTTCCCTCCCCTTTTCTCTTTCCTTTTCCTTCCCCTTCTACTTTTCCTTTTCCTTTTTGTGTGTTTTTGACACAGGGTCTCACTGTGCAGTTCAGGCTGGCCTCAAACTTGCAGTAATCCTTCTGCCTCAGCCTCTTGAGTGCTGGGATTTTCGGTATGCACACCCAACTGGGTATCATGCTTTCAGCCCCAGTTAATTAATTTTGAAGCATAGGTGTGAATTAACATGTTAGTGATAGTGTAATCTTTACCTTACATTTCTTTTTTTGTTTTCTAAGCTTTGTGATTAACATGATTTAAAATAATTAAAGTTATTATCTGCTTGCTCAATTAGGATGGCTTTGAAGCAAGACATCATCTCATATAGTTTTTAGATTAAGTTATAAATGTTCTCTTTAGAACTACCTGAAGATTGATAGAGATGCATTTGAAAAGCATTATTTTTTTATTGATTCTTAATGTAGTAAATTACTAAAGTTATTTGGCAGCAAACAGAAGTGGCCTGTGATGTGGCTCACATTTATTCTCCTGATAGAGCCACAATTTGCATTAATTGCGTTGCGACTGCACTCACTTATATTAAAAGGCTTCTACTATAATTAATCCTTTTTTATTTCAAATCATTTTGGCACAATTTCTAGCTATAAACACTCATAAAGGGTAGACAGTTGAAAAATACATTACAGGTTCTTTCCATATACCTATTGCTAATTTTTCATGACAGGTAGTTATTGATATGCTTCTAGGGACAAGCGTGGTACGACTGGCTGAAAAATGCTAAGTGGATTATTCTGCATAAAAAATAGGCAGTTTTTGAAGTTGTGTAATTAACCTGTGTTTAGAAAATACCTTGATTTATGCTTACATTTGTATCTTAGTTGCATACATTATGGAAATTTAATTTATAATCCATTTAGCTGATGCAATCATAGTTTTTAGTGCTATCATTTATTAGTGCTTGTATATTAAATGCTCTAAAAGTTTAAACCTGCCTTATATAAAAAATTATACCTATGCATTTACATTTTATGACTCACAGTGGGATTTCTATTTGAGATTCAGGTAGCTCTGATACATTTAACAGATCTCAGTGGTTTATTGTTACTAATGCAAAAATGGCAAACAATGACCTTCGGTATCGAGCGTCAGATGATTTATGCGTCTGGTTTACTTTTAAAGCCCACCGTACAGATGAGGGCTGTTCCTTAGCCCCCGCACGCGTCACAGAGTTTTATGCAGAATGCGCTCCTTGGTTCTGAACTCATCGCTCATTTAGAAGTAATGGTGCTGCTAAGTGCCCCAGGTTAACAGTTCTCGCCATCCTTAACTTTAAGCAAACTGTGACTTTCTGGGGTGACTATTTACATTTATCAGTGGATGATGGGGTGCTATTGCCATTTTGTCCTCATTCTCTCAGCAGAATGTCATCTTTTTTTAAAGTTAGTTAGAAATCTTAAGTCTTTGGAGCACAGTTCCCTTGTGCTGGCAGAAAATAGACTTCATAGTGTCTGTCCATGGTTTTGGTTTCCCAGAGTACAGCCCCAGTGATCGGAAGGAAATGTTCTCAACTGTTTTCTAGTTTCCTTGGGCCTTGTCAGCAGAAAGTGTTAGAAGTACAGGCTTTGGTGTACTTGGCACACCCTGGTGCAGTCGAGGGACTGGTGGCACAGCAGAGCAGAGGCTCTAGGGTGGATGAATTCACATCATTCTGCCCGGGTGTGTGTGGTAGGTTTTGGTTTACTGTGCCTCTTTGTCCTTCCTGATGTCCCCAGGCTCCCTTTCCCTCTGCTGGCAAGGGGCTGTGCTATAAAAGCAATGCTCAGGCTCTCTTCTCAGCTAGTGGGGTGGGTGAGGTAGTATTGCCTGGTTTCACTGCAGACACATCTCTGCAGCTGCGATGAATCTGACCCAGAACAACATCTTAGGGGAGCCATGCTCCTGCTGGCCTCCACAGAACCCACTCATGCCACAGATAGAATATTGCCCACTGGGACAGATCCGGTGTCCTGGCTTTGCTCTGCATGGCTTCTGTTATCACAGCTTCCAGATCAATCTATTGGGAATAGAATACAATAAGCACCTGACTTAGGAACAGAATCTGTTCTGGGAGAACATTCATCAGTCCTACAAAGTGAGTCTCATACACCTTTGAGATAAATATACAATGTCGGGCTGGGGAATTAGCTCAATGATGTAAGCGCCTGCCTGGCAAGCACGAGGTCGTGAGTTCAATCCCTGGTATGAAAAAATTCGATTGTACAATGTAAAGCATAAAAATGCCAAACCTACGTAAAAAAATAGTGAGCCACCAGCTATACTGTACTACTGTACATCATTGCTCTACACAGCACACAGCAGCACAACTGTGACAGTGTCTGGTGGACACGTGAGCTGCTTGTGTGACTGATTTGTTTGAGTCTACAAATGATCATCACATAGGCCCATTTGTATCTATGAAAGTTCGCAACTCAAATGTTCATAAGTTGGGGACTTACTATACTAAGAGTTTTGAAAATTTCACTGATACCTTTTTGTTTGTTTGTTTTTGGTACTGGGGATTGAACTTACGACCGTGCACTTGCAAAGCAGGTGCTTTTACTGCTGAGCTAAATCCCCAGCCCCTTCGCTGATACCTTGTTGACTTTGTGCTTCTAGCATGTATATCCTGACATGTGACCCCTGGTATGACACTGCAGACTGTGCATTATTTTATTTCCTGCCTCCATTTGCAGAGGACTCTGCGGTTAGTGTAGAACATTCACCACCACTTGATTGAGTTTGTTCACTATCAGGAGGCACAGCTCAGACCACAGCAGCTGGCCTGGCCCTACCCAGAGTGGCCGACTGTGCCAGTGATTGGGAATGTGTGAACAATAGGAGCCCATATGGGCAGTGACTTGTGCCAGTACTTCTGCCCTTCCCAGTCTGCCCTGGGTGATTCATCAGAGCTAGAAACTAGAAGTAGCTCTCATGTCTGTTGTCAGGTAGCCTTATTTGGAAATGGACGTGTGCTCATCATCAAGTTCAGATCATGCTGGGTTAGAAGGGATCCCACAGTCAAACAGACACAGTCATCTTCAGAGAAAGGAGAGGGAGACGGAGAGGGAGACTGCAAACATATAGAAAGGGCAGCTTTGTGAAGAGGCAGGAAGCGGAGTGATAGAACTAGAGCTGAGAGACCCCAGGCCAGTGACAGATCCTCTTAGTGCCTCTGAGGAGTGGATGGCTCTGCCAGTGCACACCTGGATCTCAGTGTCAGCCTGCAGAACTTGAAACAGCAGCTTGGTATTGCTTTGAGTCTTCCTACTGTTTGTGGTAGATTAGTGTACCAGCCTCAGGATCCTAAGACCCCTACCAAGCCATCTATCTGATACATTTGCTGACCTCTGCTATAGTGTGAAGCATGTGATTTGGCCCCTAAACTCTCTCTTTGTGTCAGCATACTTCACCCTTGGCCAGCCGTGCCATAGATTCACTGTTCCCGAGATAAGAGTATCCACTGTCAGGACCCTGTAAAGGGTTCTAGCTGAACATATGTCCTTTTGTTTGCAGGAGACAGAAAGCATGTAGAGCTGGGTGTAGTGGTGCACACCTGTCATCCCAGCACTCGAGGAGGGTGAGATAGAATCTTAAGTTCAAATCCAGCCTGAGCAACTCAGCAGAACCCCATCTCAAAGTGTTTTAAGGGGCTTTGAATATACCTCAGTGCAAAGGCTGCAGGTTTGGCGCCCCAGGACTGTAAGCAGAAAGCAAAACCCCACATGTGTGTCAAGTGTTATGTCTGACCATCATCCCATGCTCTGTCTTGTCTGAAGGCTCTCTATGAAAACATGCTGGTGGAGCTGCCCTTCGCAGGCTTCTTCTTGTCTAAGCTCCTGGGAACCACTGCAGATGTGGACATCCACCACCTGGCTTCCCTGGACCCTGAGGTCTACCGGAACCTGCTGTTCCTCAAAAGCTATGAGGGCGATGTGGAAGAGCTTGGACTGAACTTCACCGTGGTGAACAATGACTTGGGAGAGGCTCAGGTGAGCTGGCGTGCCTGCACTGGCCCTGGCTCACATGCCTATGCCACCAGGTGACTCACCTGCTGCTGCCATGAGCAGCAGAGTTTCCTGGGTGTGGATGTCCATTTGTGTTGCATTCTGTGTGTGTTTTAACATTTTAGTTGAGAGAGTTCTGGCAACAGAGAGTTGTCAGTGGCCCTGCCTAGCTCCTGTGAACATACCCTACCTAAGCCCTTCCTGCTATAGAGTAAGACCTCTGCCACAGGAGGGCCTGGCTGGGCATGACAGCCCCTGTTACTCTTCGTGCATGTGCAGTCTTCAGCTATACTGCTACTTACTGCATGCTTTGTTTCACACTCTTCCTTGTAGCACAGAGGTAAGTGTCTACACTGTAGGTGTGCAGTGTTGGTTGAGGGTAACACTGGTCATTTGTGTAGCTGCTGAGGGCCCTATGTCTATTGGTGCCTTACATCCAGAGGGCAAAACGTGCGTGACTTTTGCCAACAAGCACACTGCCCATCTTACTCTTGAAGTACGTAGTGACAGTGAAGTGTCACCTAAGCCTCCATTAGAGTGCTGCAGAGAAAATGTTTGCTTGGAGCAAACATATTCCAATTTGTTGGAATTCCTACTGAGCTTAGAAATTATAGATGGCAACATGGAAGAGTAATTAAGCTAAGGAGTCTAAATAGAAAAACTAAGAAGCTTAGTGGTAAAACCACCCTAATCTAGGGGAGGGCTTTATATCTGTGAACGTGGATGTCAGCAGTAGTACTTCACGAGGGGTGTTGAGTAAGTAGATCGCCCTGATTGAAAGGTCATAATATGTAGAAGTTGCATTACATGTTGGCGGTTATGTTAATCAGCCTCCCTTTGAAAATAGTGGGCTGCCCCAGATTTGTTTTCTTGGAGCTAATCAGTATGGCTGTTGGTCAACTAATAATATCCATGACATTTGGGACTTTGATCTCTTCACCTCCTCCTGGAGGACCCAGCCCAGAGTTTACAGGGACCACACGGGATCATCTACTGGGGGTCAGACCTCTGTGCTGAGACCTTCATCCTGCTTTTGCTGCTCAACTCTGTGTCCTGCATGAGTCATAAGACCCTTCCCCCTCCTGGCAGGGATATAATGTGGAATGGGGGAATGGGACACAGCCACAGGATCCTAGGTGCTGTCCCAGCCACCAACCTTCCAAAGTGCTATACTCTTCAGACTGGAGATTTGATATTCATTAGACAAGGCTTTTAAGTGCACATGGTGGTTTAGGGTTAGCTGAGGGGGACAGACTGTAAATTAAAAGTAGTGTAACCAATTTAAACTTATGAGAAATGGCAGTTTTGTCTGACTAAGCAGATTATGGGTGGCTTTGGAAGTTCCTTGAACTGAGAACTTAACTGGTCCTTTGTCTTCCTGATCACACAAACACATCATCATTTATTACCTGCTTTTAATCCATTTAAGGGAAGGGGCGGTGCTTTCTAAACGGTGATAGACTAACTGGCCTCTCAAGGCTGGAGTAACAGATGGCCTGTCCCAGAGAATGAGCAAAGGAATTAGGGTAATGAGCACAGTTATTGCTCAGCACAGAGACAATGGACCCAAAGCTCATTGTTAGCCTTGATGGTTCCAAAACTAAAAAAACAATTAGTAAAGGTGATCGAGTTATCATTTAAAATGCGAGATACTAAAAAGCGTGTCAGACAGAAATAACACTCAGGCCTCAATCTGCCTAACTTTAGTAAAGTGAGAACCCGCAGACTACTCTGTTCTGTAGCCACAGATGCACAGCAGTGTCAGTGAAGCTCTTCAGCCATGCTGAAATGACCTTTTAGGAAAGTGGTTAAAAACTGGGATGTGAAAGTGATTGCCCCACAGCATGGTGGGAGCTAGTTATTCTGGCCATAGAAGGCTATAGGAGGCTTGAAGCCTTTGGGAGCTGGACGGTGCAGCACTAATCCTCCCACAAGCTAAGATCTGAGAGTCTCTACAGCCAGCTACTTAGCAGGCACCTGGAGACTATATTGGGCTGCTGTGTGGTGTCCATTTAACAGTGCCTTTGTTAGATGGATACCCACAGTCTATGCTCATTTACTTTGTTTCTTTTATATGCTCTTCATCCACAGCATACATTTTTCTTCATGCAGCGTCAGGAATGCAGTTCTTTTATATCAGAGGTCAAACTTGGATCTTCATGCATGTTAGGCAAATGCTCCCTCATGGAGCCAACAAAGAGTTCTTAAAATACTCTTTTAATAATGTTTCTGTATTTGCTACAATCTGAGGTTGTTTGCTAATGTTTGTGTATACAACTACATGTAATCAGAGCAATTCCAAGGTAGACAAGACTGATCGTACCATATTACTGTTGAGGAAAATTAGGGCTGTGGTGGAGTTTGGTGGCCATGCCTCACCCAAGAGCTGGAGTCCATGCAGCAGTATTTCCGCCTTTTTTCCACACACTACCACGATGCTCACGGATTTCCTGAGCCCTGTTTCAGATCCACATTCTCTGTGAGCGTGACTGTGTCCTGAGAAGCAGCATGTTAAGCACCAGCTCATCAGTTACCTCTGCCACTAGCCCTTGAGGCATGATTCAGATGCCTTCAGCTATAATGGCATTCCAGAAACGTGAAGTGTGGAGAATGCTGCAAGTGTCCGTACTCACGTCACAACCTCCTTAATTCCTTCCAGGATATTTTCTCCAGAAGGAATCCCTTTATTTTGTTCTCACTTGCAATGATCCTTTGGTTCTCTTTTCTCTTCGTGATTTCTCACTTTTTTTTTTTTTGTCTTTTTCGTTTTTATCGGTACCAGGGATCGAACTCACGACTGCCTGCTTACAATGCAGGCGCTTATGCCACTGAGCTAAATCCCCAGCCCCGATTTCTCACTTTTTAAAAAAAGGAATTGCTGTGATGATGTTGCCTTACCATCCCCGATATTTCAGAGAAGGCAGGGGTGCTTGACAATCTTAAAAGTGGAATAAGTGGAGAACCTAGGAGAACCGAGGCCCAGATTCATCTTTTGAATTTATTTGCAGTGGTTGCATTGGTTGTATGCGTTTGTGTTTGGATGGATTCTTGATTTTGTGTGTGCCCTATCAGACTCAGGATTTTGATGACCCGTGCTTTCTACTCACAGGTGGTTGAATTAAAATTTGGTGGAAAAGATATCCCTGTGACCAGTGCCAACCGCATTGCCTATATCCATCTGGTAGCTGACTACAGGTTGAACAAGCAAATCCGCCCGCACTGCCTGGCGTTCCGACAGGGCCTGGCCAATGTCGTCAGCCTGGAGTGGCTGCGAATGTTTGATCAGCAGGAAATTCAGGTACTCTGCCTACTGACTTGGGGACACAGTTGTCTCAGGAAAATAGAGCTTTCTTAAAATCTCTGTCAGGCTAGGCATGGTAATAGCTGTAATTCCAGATCCTCCGAGGCAGAGGCAGAGGCAGAGGCAGAAAGAAATGTAACTGTGAAGCACCCTAGGCAATTTCTAGAAATCCTATCTCAAAATAAAACCTTAGCCTGGAGGTGATGCACACCTATGATTCTAGCACTCGAAAGGCTGAAGCAGGAGGATTATGAGTTTGAGACCAGCCAAAACTACATAGTGAAAGCATGTCTTAAAAATAATAATAAAATAAAATTTAAAAATAAAACCGTAGATGGTGTGGGAGTGTGTGGCTCATTGATCAGGGATAGAATTCCTGCCTAAACTTGAGACACACATGTGTAAATATATTGTCTCATTAGCGTGAGAAGCTGAAGGAAGCAACGTGTATATGTGTGTGTGTGTATGTGTATATAAAAAAAGAATGAAGATTGAAAAAAAAAGAGTTTGTGCTAGCACAGGTCTCTGGGTTCTGTTCTCAGTAGCCCTGCATTCCCACCCCTTAGTGACCTCAAGTCTTACAATTTGAACTCCTTTTCAGGTACTAATTTCTGGTGCACAAGTTCCCATAAGTCTGGAGGATCTGAAATCCTTCACAAATTATTCAGGTATGTTACTCAGTAGCTCTGGTGTGGGGTGCTGATGGAGGTTCCTGCTGAGAGTCTTCAGTCTCTCCAGGCCAGGACTGGCTGTCTCAGAGCCCCAGAGACCGAGGGCATATCTCGCACCTCAGCCCTCCACGCCGCTCTGCATCTGCTGCTCTGCCACACACACTAGGCATCACCACTTTCACAGCAGTACTAAACTGGAAGTGGGGCCCGGCCCAAGCAAGTGCGTAGTGTGTCTGCATCCCTGCATGGGGTGTCCAGCTCCAAACATGAATCGCAGGGTGGGTGGGGGGCTGGACAGAGTGCTAGCTGCTCCTTGCCCACAAAGAAGCACACTGGTGAAAGACTGGAAATGGACCACATGAAAATTTGTTTTTCTTCCTTTTTTTTTTTTTTTTGGTCTTTTTCGTTTTTTATTGGTACCAGGCATCGAACTCACGACTGGCTGCTTGCAAGGCACCTTTTTTTTAAATTTTGATTTTCAATTAAAAACTTTAAAAAAAAAAAAAGTGAAAATACACATAGGACGAAAGTTTTCAGAAGAACTTGTATCCAAAATGCATGAAAATTTCTAAATGCATTGATAAGGAAACATCAGTCACCCAAGGCAAAAGCCTTGAGTAACCACTTCCCACTGAGTTCTGGCTGGCCAGTGAGAGTTTGCAGGGGCAGCTACAGTTTGCCTTGAGCCACAGATGACCACCTCAGAGGGGTGCTCAGGTGCAGCTGCTGTCTTGAGATTATTTCCAAATTTTTTAGGTTTTTTTTGTAATTAACTTCATATATGCTTGGCAACAAAAGAAAAAAATCACCGTTAATGCTGGTATTCTAAGCTAGCCAATGTTCTGCTATCATATTCCATCATTTGTATATATTGTAATTTTTATTTAACATCAGTGGTAAAAAAAAATTTCATGCTGGCCATGTTGGAGCACTCAAGAAGTTGAGGCAGTGGGATCACCACAAGTTCAAGGCCATTCTGGACCACCTAGGAAGGCCCTGTCTAAAAAACAAAAAGTGATGTTATTGCCAGGTGTGGTGGCACATACATATGACCCCATCTACTGGAGAGGCTGAGGCAGGATCACTGCAAATTTAAATCCTGCCTGCGCTACATAATGAGACCCTGTCTGTAAAACAAATTTTTGAAAATGATATGACATGAGTTATTAATTCCTATTTTTGTTATATGCCCTGGACATTTTAAAGTATTTTATATCTCTTAGAAAAATACCTAAAATATATTCAGAAATAAAGCAGATCATGAAACAGTTTGTATTATATGATCCCTTCCCTTTATATGTTTCCAGATGAGTACATACACTTTTTTTCTGTTGGAGTACTGTGAGTTAAATCCTGGCTTTATAAGACCTGTGCCCTAGTGCTGAGCCTCAGTCTTTAAGTTTTATTCAGAGCCTCAGTTGCCCTGATTGGCCTTGAACTTGCAATTCTCCTGCCTTAGCTTCCAGTGTTTGGAATTACAAATATGTGTTACCACACCACTTGAATTTCTTTTCAAATCTCTTTCAAGTAATTTTTAAGTTAGAAAACATATCTTGGAGAGTAAGGACATCAGCAAGCTTAGTAGCAGCCTGATGTCAACGGCAGAAAAATACTGTATGCAAAAAGAGAGTTGGGAATGAGCATCCCTTGTGAACAGAGGGATATATTTCCGAAGCAGCATTAGCAAGTGGAGTGCATTAGCAGAATAGTATAGCTAACAAAGTATTAGTGATCAAAGAAGGCCCTGTGACACGGTCAACTCTGTTAGCATCCCGCAACACACTGGTGGTATGAGCACTGTCTCCGTGAATAGGGAGCTTTCTTGAGGCCCCCGAGCACATCACATGTGCTCTGGGTAGACCTCGGAAACAGGGAAAGCCTGAGCATTGTCATCCTCACCCAGGACGCTCAGTCAGTGAACAGAGAGGGCAGAGTGAAAATGAAGAGCATCCAGGTTTCCATAAGAGTAAGAAAAGCAAAGATTTTATCACAGACAACTTGATGAAAAAAATACAACAAAATTGAATGCCCAAAATTGAACACATTTTGCAGGATTACATCACAGGCTACAGGTTAATGTGGAATGAACAGCAGGGTGCAAGACAGCACTAATTTCACTCAGCAAGAACCCAGAGGAACAAAATACAAAATTAAGCAATGTTAGTATCAGACTTGTGCACTGAAGACTGCAAAGGACCACTGAGAAAAGTGCAAGGACGTTGAAATAAATGGAGAATTTATTTTCATATGGAAACTTAGTGTTGTTAAATGGTAATTCTTTTCAAATTGATCTGTAAATTCAGTCCAGTTCCTGCCAAAATCCCAGGAAAGCTTTTTGTAGAAATCAACAAAGTTAATTTTAAAATTTACTTGGAAACATAAAGGGTCAAGGGTAGCCAAGACAATTTTGTAGAAAAGCAAAATTTAAAAACTTACTTTCTGATTTAAAACTTACTGTAAAGCCATAGTAATCAAGACAGTGTGGTATTGGCAGAGGGACAGCATATGATGAGTGGAACAGAATTAGAGTTACTGTGTATTTATGATCCGCTGGCTTTTCAGCAGAACTCCCATGATAGTTCAGTTGCTGCTGGGATAATCTACATGTATTTCACACCAAATCCCAAAAGAGCTAGAGATCCACAATTTCCAAGAAGAACAAAATCTTCATGACTTTGGCTACATCAGATATTTTTTAATGAAAGTTAAAAACTTTGTGTTCGAAAAGATACCACAAGAAAAACACATTGGCAGAGAATAATTTCAAGTTACATGTCTGGCGAGAGACTTGCATTTACAATAGATGAAGAACACTTGTGATTCAGTAATAAATCAACCCCACTAAAGCATAAGGGCAAAAATATTACGAAGGCCTTTGTTTAGGAAGATGTGTAAATGGACAGGAAGCAGGGAAGCCCATGAGTGGGTGATTAGCACCAGTAGTTTAGGGTGCTATGAATGGGTCTGGAGTGGATGCAGTCTGACAGTTGACCTTGAGTGTTAGCAACTTTGTAGAGGAGATAGAACACTTGACTGGTGTCAGTACAGAGGGTGGAGCCTCAGAGAAGGCTGCATGTAGAATGATTTGATTTGTGCAAAGAATGACGCTGTTCCCATCTTATACCATAGACACAAGTAACTCAAAGCTAAAATCATAACTTGTATAAGAGAAAACAATAAACCTTGGTGATTTGGATTTGACAATGAATTCTTAGGTATGACATCAAACTTTATGTGCAATAAAAGAAACTGACTTCATCTCTGACTTCATCAGAGTTAAATAACAGAGTGAAGCAATAGCCTACAGACAGAGAGAAGATATTTGGAAATTACATGTACAGTAAGGAGCTGGTGCCCAGAATTTAGCCGGGTGTAATGCCACACACCTGTAACCCCAGCACTTGGCAAACTGAAACAGGAACATTGCCATGAGTTCATGGCCATCCTGTACTACATGGTGAGATCCTGTCTCAAGAAAAGCAAAAAATAAAAATGGGAAAAGAGCTGGCTCTTGCTGTAATCCCAACATTTAGAAGGTTGAGGCAGGAGTCTTAAAAGTTCAAGAATAGAATGGACTAGATAGCAAAAGCCCATCTCCACTAGAAGGGGTATGGCTGGGTAGGAGCTTCAATAGACATACCTCCAAAAATATGGACAGTAAAGATACTCAGCATTGCTAATCATCAGGACAAAGCATGTCAAATCAAAACTAGCAAGCTCCCATTTACACTGAGGGTGGCTGTTACTGAATGTGAAATGGTAGTGCTAAAGGAGGTGTAGAAAGTGGAACCCTTAGTCATGGCTGTGGGATCATAAGTGGTGCAGCTGCTAGGGAAATCAGTTTTTTGTTGTGATATTTTGTTTTTGTCTTTTTGAGATAGGATTTCACTATGAAGTTCAGGCTGGCCTTGAACTCTTGTTGTAGCCCAGGATGACCTCAAACTGTCAGCAATCCTCCTACCTCAGCCTTCCAATTGCTGGGATTACAGGACTGTACCACCATGCTGGCCTTGGAAAGCAGTTTGGACCTGCTACAACCTCAATGTGGTCTTGGGTGTAGCCGAATGGCAAAGCACTTGCCTCATGTGCACAAGGCCCTGGAATTAGTCCCTAGCACCACATGGAAAAAAAAGAGGGCCGAGGATTTGGTTCAGGGGCATGAGCACCTCCCTGGCAGGCATGAGGTCCTGAGTTGGATCCCTGGTATGGGTGGGGAGAGCCATGTGTGGTCATATACATCCATAATCATAGTACTGTGGGAGCCCGAGGCAGGAGAATCAGGAGTTTAAGCCCATACTGGGCAATTTAGCAGCTGAGACACTGTCTCAAAAAAAGGACTTAGAGTAGCTCACTGCAAACACCCTGGGTTCAATTCCCCCAGTACCCTACACATACCCTCATAAAAAGATAGAGAAAAGTCCCAGCACTCAGGTTGCAGCAGGAGGATTACCATGTGATCCAGGGCAGTCTGGGCCACATAGTGAGCTCAGGTCCAGCCTGAACTGCAAAGCAAGACCGTGTCTCAAAAGGAAAAGGGGCTGGGGATTTAGCTCAGTGGCATAAGCGCCTGCCTTGCAAGCACACAGGCGTGAGTTCAATCCCTGGTACTGATAAAAAAAAAGAAAAGAAAAAGGGGAAATGTAAGAGGGGAAAACCCTAAACAGAATTCTTTCACTAAAGAAAATGTATAGAAAAAAAAAAAATAGAATTCTCTAATCCGGCAACTCTACCTCTGTGTCTAAGAAACGCCAGCTCATCTTGTTCCTAGAAGCATTGCCTAGCACCATGGCCAAAAGACCCAATGGATAAACAGATAAATGTACATTAGGTTCATGAATCTTAGATAGGAGGAAGTTCTGGTACTGTGAATGACTGAAAAACAGTGCTAGGCAAAACAGGCCAGACACAAAAGGACAGGAGTTAGGTGATGCAGTGTGTGTAAGTCACTTGGAGTGTTAAATCCTTGTGCTCTACGGTAACGTGGAGACCCCACAGGGCTGGAGAGAGAGGAGGGACAAGTTTCTGCCTGGAGTAAGAGTTCCTATGAGAATGGACGTGAATGGAGGCAGCACCTTTGAGTTGTACACTTAACCACCCTCATTGAAAGGGTAAATTTTATGTTCTGGATTTTACCACAATAAGAAGAAAGAAAAACTATCCATGTTCTCCTGTTACATGGAACACTGTATATGAAACACCCGGAAAGCAGATTTGCAGAGATGGAGGGTCAGTGGTGCCTGCAGGGTAAAAGTAGGATCTCTGAGGAAAAATATCTAAACCTGGACTGTATAAATGATTGTACAAGTCTCAATTTGTTTTTTAAAAAAGTCACTTTGTGTGTATGTGTGTGTGTATTTATGTGTATGTGTAGTTAATCTGTATTGTTGTAAACTGTAATTTTTATGTGAAGGCAAATAACACCTAAGGTCACATTGTCACTACCATCAAGTCGTAAGTTTGAGAAAATGAAATCAGTCTGACCTTCCCTTTGCCAAGAAATTGTCACTGGTGTTTGCATTACCCTGTGTGCACTGAAAGCTTATACCTTTAATGGTCTTAGCTATTCCAGTAAATAGGACTAAAATATTATCATTCATTTTGGTGCCAATTAATGCACTTAGGATATTTTATTGATGTTATTTCTGTTGTGTATTAACAATGGGGGAACAATAGATAGCAATTATTTTAGTTTTAAGAAGCACTTAAGGAGATTAAAAGCTGTAAGTAGCAGATACTACATTTTAGAACAGTGTTCTAATCACTTGTGGAGCTGATCATTGGCCATGGTCTTTCCCTTATTATCAGAGAGGTGATAAAATTAACATAACTACCAAGACCATAGTGAGCCAATATGTAGCTGTACTAGAATATAAAAACCCCAATGTCTGTTTTTTAGCTGTGTTGACCACAGATAAAGCTGTATTTGTTGAGGGTATGCTCAATAGTGGTGTTGATTTCTAACTAACATAGTTCTTAAAAACCAGGTGCCTTGAGGGACCGTCTTCCCTACCGATGGCCTCGAGCCCAGTAACCAGCTGTGACTGTCACCTCCTGGAGACTGGGGTCAGGTGTCCTAGAGAATCAATCCCATCCTCACCCCAGCTCCCTGCCTCACCACCACAAGGCATAGGAATATCAGTTCATTGCCTTAGGGTCATTGAGAGAAACCTGCTCTTGCGTGTATTTTTAATAAAATATGTGCTTGTTCTGTCACAGGAGGCTATTCTGCTGATCATCCTGTGATCAAAATCTTCTGGAGAGTTGTGGAAGGTTTCACTGATGAAGAAAAGCGCAAGTTGCTCAAGTTTGTAACAAGCTGCTCGCGGCCTCCTCTCCTGGGCTTTAAGGTACACAATATCATGGCTTTTTTTTTTTTTTTTTTTTTTTTTTTTTTTTTTAAATGAACCAGGAATCAAGCTCAGGACCTCATGCTGCTGTTTTCTTTTAAAAAACAAATTCTGACTAGCTGTGGTCTGTGTGTCACAGTACTGGTGCTTCCTTGTGATACTTTTTTGGTGAGTAGCGGTGCAGTACTGGGCATCAAACCCAAGACCTGATACATAGCTGACACTGTCCTCTGGCATTGGTGCAGTACCTGTATGCTTTGGTCTAGGCTGCCTGGAGCACATCTGTGAAGGGAGGGATGATCTAGAAGACAGACCCTTTGTGTCCCAAACTCAGTGCCTCTTAAAGAAACTGTTTTTGCCATGCCCTGAAAATGTTGGTCTGGTGTATGTGAGCAGAAGTCATTTCATTAGTGCATGTCTGCAGTGCATGCTAGCGATGTTCATTTTGGGGAGCTTACATGTGCATACAACATATTTCAGTCATTTCCAATCCTTTTAACTGCTTTTCTCTTCCCTCCCCACTCCCTGACCTCTGCCCCATGTCCAGAAGGTCTGCCTGAACAGAAGTAACTTTCTGTCCTCTTACTTATTTTGTGTTACTTAGCTTTATTTTTTTCTAAAAATTATTGTCAATCTCATGTCTTGGTTTATTTTTAGCAATTAAATTGCTTGAGGGGTATTTAATATGTCCTGTATCCATTGTAAATTAAAACGTAGTATTCAATCTGGACATGGTAGCACACTCAGGAGGCTGAGGCTGAAGGATTGTTGCAAGTTTGAGAACAGCCTGGGCTAACAAGTGAGCACATGGCCAGCCTGAACTGCATAGCAAGACTCTGTCTCAAGAAGATAAAAGAAAGTAGTATTCTTCCTTAACTAGGCATAGCAGCACACATTTGTAATCCCAGCTCTTGAGAGGCTGAGGTAGGATGATTGCCTTCAGTGTGAGGCCAGCCAAGACTACAGTGGCAAGCAGAAACACCAAAACAGTAGCCAGAATTTGAGGCAGATTTATTTATGTCGATAGGCAGGCCTATATAGGGTACTCAAGCATAAAGTACAGACACAGAATGACTCGTCAGATGGGGATTGGTTCTTATAGTATGCATCACAGTGACCAGGTGTTTCTCAGAAAGGAAAGTAACAGGAATAGTAACCGTAACTACTACCTGGGCAGCTAGCAAGCTTCCTCTTGGGGACCAAAGTTGAAAGTGCAGGGAAACAAACAGCAGAGAGGCTGATTAGCTTGATGAGTCTTCCATGCTGAAAGTTTGTGCCTGGCAGAAGGGGTGAGAGACAGGAGTCCCAGTTGCGCTGGTGATGGTAACTTTTTGATAGAGGGAACTTTTGAAGGCAGAGTTCTTTTTTTTTTTTTTTTTTTTTTTTTTTGTCTTTTTCATTTTTATCGATCCCGGGGATGGAACTCACAACCACCTGCTTGTATGGCAGGTGCTTATGCTGCTGAGCTAAATCCCCAGCCCCGAAGAGAGTTCTGTTCCGTTGTCTACTAGGAAAGTCCCAGGTTTGCCGCTGACTTTCAGGGGCCTAATTTGTAGAGCTCAGTGTGTCCTATCCATCCAGGCCCAACAGCTAAGTGGTATGTGAAGCCTCTGTTACGCCATATATTGACTACCACAGAAGCACAGGCAGCAGCCCTTCTAAGCTGCCGGGACCAGCACTTCCCAGTCCCAGTGCAGACAAAGCAGCCTGTTCTTACACTGTCCATTCCACTCACTCACACATTCATTCAGCAGGCACTCAGAGGATCAACATTCCACCCCCTTCCCTTGAGGGTGGTCCTGACTAATGAAAGTTGATCAAACTCCCCTTCTTGAGCAAGACTGACAGACAGACTAACTGAGGTGCCCCCAGGGGTCTTAAAACAAGCAGGCAGGCAGACAGAGACAGATTGCGTCCTCTTCCCTTTGGGGTCTGACATCAGCCACTCAAGTGGGGAGCTAGGAATCCTCTTCCAGACCTCTGAGGGGACTTGAGAAATCTCAAAGATGAGCCTTCCCATTGGGACCTGGAGAAGTCCTTGCTCCATCCGAGAGGGCCACGCCCAGTGATCAAAGAGGTCAGTATGGTTGGTCTTCCTGCCAAGTGCAGCAGATGCAACAGCAAACAGCAAAATGACAGCCAGAATTTGGAAGCAGATTTATTTACAGTGATGGGCACTGATTGGAATCATTCCCAAAATATCAGGCCCTGATCACTGATGGTCTAGAGCTTATATGGGAAAAGTAACCAGGATGTACAGAGACTGAATGGCTTGTCAGTTGGGGATTGATTCTTATAATATGCATCATAGTGACCAGCTATGCACCACATTGACCAGCTATTTCTAAAAAACAAAAGTAACAGGAACTGTAACCATAACTATCACCTGGGCAGGTAACAAATTGAAGTATACTGACTGTGGCAGGGGATGTGTAGCAGGAACTTACACCACAGGGTCACATAGTGAAGCCCCATCATCACCAAAAGAACCTTGAAGTGTATATTGGTGTATATATAATGTAGGAAAATAGCAACTGAAGTTAACAGTGTATGTTGCTGTGAACCTCACAAATACACATTTACCTTTAACTAAGCTATATTTTGATGAGTGAAGTTAACTTTTTAGCTTTCTGCATAGAAATTCTCTCAAAAAAGCAGAAAAGTTTGGAGATTTGGGTGGAGAACTTCTGCGCCCACTGTGACCAGTGTTGACTTCTGACCCAATGTACTTGGTCCACCATTCTCTGCATTCATAGTGACACACGCTTGTCATACGTCATTTGTATTTCCTAAGTAGTTCAGCACATAGTTCGCAAATACAGGAACAGTCTTGCTGGGCATGGTAGTGCACTTCTGTGATCCTTGACTCAGGAGACTGAATCAAGATTGGGTCACCATGAGTTCCACTATCCTGGGCTGCATTGTTCAAGGCCAGCCTGAATTCCATAGTAAGACTCTGTCTTGGGGCAGCAGAAAGAAGTGGGAACAGTCTTTTTTTTTCTTTCTTTCTTTCTTTTTTTTGTTTGTCTTTTATCGGTACCAGGGATCGAACTCAGGACTGCCTGCTTCTAAGGCAGGCACTTATGCCACTGAGCTAAATCCCCAGCCCCCCGAAGTAGGAACAGTCTTAAAAACTATCATGAAATGATCACATTCCATTTGGTTGTGTATATTAACTCTGAATACCTTTGTATATGGTGCTGGTATGGTCCATAGCAGCAGTTGCAGTGGTCTTGTTAGAGCAGGGCTGTTTGGCTAGCATGGATGAGGCCACAGAAGAGGGACAGAGTCTGGAGACGTTTCCCAGACCTGTCAGGCCCACTGAGTTAAGTCCCTGGTGGCATTCTGCTGCACGCTGTCACGTCCTACAGATCTTTAGGAACATGCTACACTGATGGCAGCTGTCTCTTGTGTCTCCGGCACAGTCTCTCCACCCAGGTGGGTGCAGAAGGCCCTTACGGTTTGGCGGGTGCAGTTGGCCCAGGCAGGCAGGCAGGTATGCTTCGACTGAATGTTAGAGGGTTCTGTAGGGCCAGACTATTGAAGAAGGATGGCATCTACTAAAGCTAGTTAAACGTTAATATGTTTGATAAATGTGATTGTTTCAGACAAAAAAAAAAGTTGTAAAAAATTGTTAAGTTTCCACAGGCCATGTAACAAATTGCTGATATTTCTCTGAATTAATGCAAATTCCCATTGTGCTGTGTTTTATTATGCACTGGAACAAGATTGCAGCAAAGAACTTCATTTTTTCACTCTTGAGACTCAAGTAGGAGATGGTTTGCACTATGAAGAAAACACTGAAATGCAATGTTGTTACAACTTGTGTTTATATGTTCCTCTAAAGCCTCATGTAGTTGTAGGTGGTGGGACTTTTCAGAAGTGGCTGCATCTAGAATGTGTGCTGGATTCATGTTATAATGCTAGGATTCAGGGTGAGTGATTGCTAAATCAATCCAGTGATTGAAGCTGAGCGTGGTGGTTCATGCATGTAATCTTAGAACTCAGGAGACCAAGACAGAAGGATCAGTTGGAGGTCAAGGCTGACCTGCATTACTTAGCAATACTATTCCTCAAAAAGAAAAAAAATCCACTGATTAGTTTGGCAGTGCCCTGACCCCAGCAGCCTGAGATCAGGGCATACATTATAAGGCATGGAAAGGCTTGTTTTGTCCCTTGCTGGTTTTGCTGCCTTCTTCCTGCCAGGGACCACTCTGTCTCTGGTGATGTTCCTTTGCCATTCCTTGGAGCCAGCCAACTACGAACTGAAACCTATACAAACTGTAAGCCAAATAAATCTTTCCTCCCTTAACTTTGGGCCTCAGATGTTTTTCTCAGCAATGGAAAAAGTAAGGTGTCTCACTGCAAGGTATGCGTCAGCTTCTGCATGCCAGTACCTTTGCTGGAAACACTGGTGCTGTCCAGGGTCCTTTGCCACCTCACACAAGTGGCAGCTCCATTTCAGTTCACTCAGGCATTGGAGAAAACTGTTGCTTCTTGTGCTCAGAACACTGAGAATAAATGCAGCTTGTTCCCTCTGGTTCTCCTGGGTCTGTGTGCTAACACTCTCTGACAGAGTACGTGGAAGCTGTGATTAGAAGAGGTCGTCGATCCCACGTTATTCCCACATGCATTTCCTAATGAAGGCTGTGTGCAGCAGTAAGAGGCTGACAAGGTGGGAAGAAGTGTTTCTGTTCTGCAGCACTTTGGGAGCTGCGCCCTCTCAGCTTTGGTCTCGTCATAACACACATGGTAAATGCCAGGCAGAGGTGAGCTGGGACTGATGGAGTGCAGTCTGGCCACGGGGTACCCATACACTTTGTGACCACCCTCTGTGTCCCGTTCCGCATCAGGCAAGCCTTGCTCAGTTTCCTCTTTCCAGCATACCCCAAATAGAAGGCAGCCAGTGCATCTGAGGTTGCTAAGCTTTTCTTACAAAAACAAAATTGATGTTTTTATTATAAAAAATGGGAAAATGAGGGGCTGGGGATTTAGCTCAG